AATGTAGCATCATGGCAGATAAGTATACTGCAAACTAAGTCTTCCTCTAATGCTGTTTTGATGGTATCCCATCATGTAAGGATGTCATCTCAAGGTTATGTATAAGGGTAGGTAGACCCGGTCTGTACGGAAGCATCACCGTAAGTACTGTCATAGGATGGGAAGTAAATACTGAAAATAAAGACTCTTTCACTTGCCTTTCGATACTGGTGTCTGGAAACAAATACTGCTTAATGAAAGTGTCTTGCTTGATGAACCTATTGATCTCGAATGAAGTGAAGATTGAATTAGTCGTTCATAGTGCGCTGTGACCTGTGACGGTCTTTCCAGATTTAGCGCAAGGATCTTGGGGAAAAGGCGACAGCTGCACCGCGGGTTGGCACCTTCTGCCCCGCACCAGCCCCCAGCAGGTGACCCCGCCATGATGCAGTCACACACACAGCTAGAGCCTGTACCGCCTGGGAGCACAGCTGGCACATGAAACTGTCCTCTCTCCCGCCAAAACTTCTTCCCCGCCATTCCCACCTCGCAAGCTTGAACAGAGCTCCAAGAAGCTCCCACCAACACCCCCGAAAATCGACCACCCCCCCAGATACTGTCGAATCGAGGACAACAAGATGCCTGCCGAAGAGTCCAAACCTCTCGACCCGGCCGTCAAAGACGCCAACGACGCCCTTGCCGAGGCGAGCGACAAGGGCAAGGGCAAGGAGGCCGAGGTCGAGGACGAGGACGAAGAGGAGGAGGATGCGCCCGAGGAGACCGCACCCGACGCAGCTGCTGGCGCCGCAAAGAAGAAGAAGAAGAGGTCCAAGAGAAAGAAGGTCAAGGATGCGCTCACCGGCAAGCCTAGCGATCCGGAGGCTGCCATTAAGGAGGCCATCGGTGGCCTGACGCCACAGCAGCTCACCGAGCTTCTCGCCCTGAATCCGGCTTTGGCGAACGAGCTTGGTGTTGGAAGCTCCAGCAACAAGTCGGCCGAGGAGACTGCCGCGGCGATGAAGAACCTGAACCTCCAGGACATCATGACGGGTCTGGCCTCGGCTGGCAAGAATGCCAAGGATATGGCGAGCTACAAGTTCTGGGCGACGCAACCCGTGCCCAAGTTTGGTGAGGCGGAGGCTAAGATCGAGGATGGCCCGATCCGCATCCAGAAGGTGGAAGAGGTGCCTACGGAAGCGTCGCCAATGGTGGCTGGCTTCGAGTGGGTTACCATGAACCTCGAGGACGAGGGTGAGATGAAGGAGGTGTACGAGTTGCTCAACGGCCACTACGTTGAGGATGACGAGGCCATGTTCCGCTTCAACTACTCGCCAGCAATGCTTCAATGGTGAGTTTTGGCTCTGGTTCGTACCCGAACAAGCCATGCTAACCATCTTCACAGGGCCCTCATGGCTCCCGGCTGGCGCAAGGAGTGGCACGTTGGTGTTCGCGCGACGCAGTCTAGAAAGCTCGTCGCCTTCATCTCCGCCATCCCGGTCAACTTGCGCGTGCGCAAGAACGTTGTCACTTGCTCTGAAGTCAACTTCATGGTTGTCCACAAGAAGCTCCGCGGCAAGCGCCTTGCACCCGTGCTCATTAAGGAGATCACGCGTCGCAGCAACCTGCGCGAGATCTGGCAGGGTCTCTACACAGGTGGTGTCGTGCTGCCCAAGCCCGTCAGCACTTGCCGTTACTTCCACCGCGCCCTCAACTGGCAGAAGCTGTACGAGGTTGGATTCAGCCCGCTGCCCCCCAACAGCAAGCCTCAGTACCAGATTCGCAAGTACCAGCTTCCGGATAACACGTCAACCAAGGGCCTGCGCGAGCTCCAAGAGAAGGACCTTGATGGTGCAAACGAACTTCTGGCGAAATACTTGAAGCGCTTCGATATGGCCCCCGAGTTCTCCAAGGACGAGTTCAGACACTGGTTTCTGCATGACAAGAACGCCCCCGGCGAGCAGGTCATCTGGACATATGTCGTCGAGGTTCGTCTCATGTTCCCATACCCTCCTGCTCAAAGTATACTGACATCCAGCTAGACCAATGGAAAGATCACCGACTTCTTCTCCTTCTACTGCCTCGAGTCTACCGTCATCAACAGCTCAAAGCACCAGGTCGTCCGCGCCGCCTACCTCTGGTACTACGCCTCCGAAGTCGGCCTCGCCACGCCCCTCGACAAGGCCGCCCTGAAGACGCGACTGAACGCCCTCATCGGCGACGCCCTGATCTTGGGCAAGAAGAACAAGTTCGATGTCTTCAACGGTCTGTCCCTCTTGGATAATGGCCTGTTCCTGGAGCAGCAGAAGTTTGGTCCCGGTGACGGACAGCTTCACTACTACTTGTTCAACTACCGCGCAGCCCCTATTGCTGGCGGCGTCGACAGAAGAAACAAGCTTGACGAGGAGAACCTGAGTGGAATTGGCTTGGTCATGTTGTAAGTCGCATGAGGTTATGAGCGAACGATGGAGAAGGAAAACCCAAGGGTGGTCAGCACAGCGAATAGCTGCATGCATACCGGCGTTAGGGGATGATATGTGAGGTATCACAGTAAATGAATCAAGCCATCACGGCATACAACTACTCTTTATAGTGCGTCATATCACAGTCTGCCATGAATGCCCTGCTCTCTGGGTTCCAACCTAGCGGCCACCTAAGCACCCATCTTTTCCACCGTCGCGATCCGCTCCTCCAACCACTTGTTCATCCATGGCACTCTATCCATGATGGGCGCATGCCCCATACCCTCCACGAACTCCACGACACCCGGCTGCAGGTGCTCAGCTAGTAACCTCCCGTGATGCGCGTCAATCATAACATCGCTCAACCCATGAATGACAGCGATACGCTCCCTCCCCACCTGATCCGCGAGCTGCCTCAGCTGCGCGGGCGACTTGTGATGCCACCCCGCCGCGACGAGCTGCTGAATGAACCCGCGAATGCTGAACAACCCCGGCGTGTTCCTCTTGATCAGCTCCTGCGCCTGGAACCGCTGGTAATTATTCTCGAAGCGACCGTACCCCTGCCTCCCATCCGCGGGACCGCACTTGTGCGTTGCATCGTTGGGCAGCTCAGCCGCCTCGTCGGGCATGACGAGCCAGTCGGCAGGGAAGAGTTTCAGGGACGTATCCGCAATACTCCGGTCCGCGGATTTCGGGACGAGCATGGCGGCGCGGTCCCGCATGTTTTCGAGGAGTGTCTTTGTGTTTTCGATCCAGGGGGCCGTGCAGAGGAGGGTTACGGAGGCGAACAGGGAGGGGGCGGCGAAGGCGAGTTCTTGGGAGATCATGCCGCCCATGGAGATGCCGAAGAGGTGGACGGAACGGGAGGCGGTCCAGCCGACGGAGGTGAGGACTTCGAGGGCGTCGTGGGCCATTTCGGAGGTGGAGTAGCGGAGGTAGGGGACGTCTGATTCGCCCATGCCGCGGTTGTCGAGGATGAGGACGGAGTATTTGGATGCGTTGTCGTGGCCGAAGTATTTTGTTTGGCGCTGCCATGAGGTTTTGAGGCCTGCTAGGCCCATTATGAACTTTGGGTCTGTGTTAATATGAGAGGTGTAGTTGGAGTTTTGAGGCATGAGTGAAGGAGGCGTACGATGATCTTTGAGGGACCGGTGCCGTGGATTTCCCAGGCAATGTTGAAGGGGCCGCCTCGTTCCTTGGCGACGGAACATTTTCCCTTGCGGTCGGGTTCGAGGTTCCATATTGTCGAGGAATATGAGGGATGTCTCATTGTTTCTTCCGCCGTGGGGAAGACTGGTACTCTGGTGATCTTGTCAGTATACTTTCAGTGCTCAGATGAATGAGTGAGGCTTACTTTGTCGCCATGGCTGCGTTTCTCAAAGGGATTATGGATATGAAGTCAAGAATTCTGTTGATCTTAGGACGACCCCACACGTGGATTCAACGTGGTTATACTAGGTACTGTTCGTGTTCGGGATGAAGATATGGAAATGTTTGGAGAAGCCCGGTTAAGTGGCGTCGAGAGATGTTACAGATGAGTTTGGATCAAAGTCGAGTCGGGGGGGCTGTGTGAGAGCTGTTGAGCTATGAGCTATGAGCTGAGAGAAGCTGTTTCTCGAAAGACCCCTGCGCCCTGGGAAAGATGTGACGAAAGAAGCAAGCGTTTCTTAATAACGGACTGCAGCTTTAGCGTCCTTGTGGAGGGGGGAAACTGTGCAATCGGATCAGCTTGTCCAAATTGCAGAACTGCAGAACATGCGGGCTCTCAAGAGACTAAATGCGATCATGGGATTGTGTCAAGCGCGATGCGGTGCGCAACGGGCGGCTGGTGACGTTGTCTATCGAGGGCGCCTGATATGACGGTACGGAAAATGTCTGTTGAATTTGCTTGGAACGGAAGTACTCTAATAGCAGAGAATCGTGCGACATGGGGTTCCACTTTGACTATGCCTCGGCATCGGGGAGCTCTCAATCACCGTCGCAGAGCTCCAACAATGACAAGGACGTTGCATGTTCTTGGTTCCTTTAAGTTGATGGTCTCCTGGTAGAAGGACTTCAGACGGAGCTAAGATATGTTGAGTCGCTGTGTATATGAGAGTTAGTCTTCCATGTCATGTAAAGTGTTCAAGGAATTAGTGCCGTTGCAGTGGAGAATGGCATATGGAAAGCTGATGTGAATCTTTGACTTTCCGGAGAGCCATCCGTGAGAGTCGAACGGTACGTACTGGCATCGAAGACATGGGCAGTTGGAGCTCGAGCCACTTGCTGACTGATGGAGGCGCATGGGCATCTACCACTTGGGTGACCGCCTTCCTTCCTGAAGCGGGCAAATGTGGCAGAATCAGGAGCTGGCGCAACTGCGACGCTGCTTACCCTGCACGTTGCTGTTCGTTTCGTTTGATGGATGATCACCAACGACACCTCTCATCAGCTAGCATCATCCCGAATAACCGACATCACAACTAACTCCTCGACCTAATCCCTTACGCATACGAACTTTCGCATGCAAAGCTCACTACTACCCTCAATATGCTTCACGTATAGCTACGTCTAGGCACCATCATGTGGCTCCAGCTGCCATCAACCGACACCCTGACGCGGCCGCGCATCGCCGTGGTCCTCTTCTCTGCTGTCGCCGCGGCATCTCTTGGCTACTATACCTACCAGGCCAATCGAGACCAGTACGATGAAATCCAAGGCCCCGGCCTCCACCGAAGCAACGCCGTTCGCCGGAACCACAGACGATCGCGTCGCAACTCGCTCTCATCCGAAGGCTCTCATGGCGACGAGAACATCGATCTGGACGCCATGCGCCCAGCGAACGATGCTGATACGATAGTTGATGGCGGAACCGTCGACGAATGGTGGAACGATCCCAATAGCATGCAACCTCAGGCGCGAGCCGGCCACAACATCGTCAGCCTTCTATTTAGGGTATCCGAGGACAATGCCAGGCGAAACGCGTGCGTCCATAGGGGCTGCGCATGCAACGCCTGTGGCATGGTACCGATCCGTGGTGTCCGATACCGATGCGCCAATTGTGCCGACTTTGACCTCTGCGAAACCTGCGAATCCCAAGGAGTTCACATTAAGACTCACATCTTCTACAAGATCAAGGTCCCCGCCCCGCCCTTTGGTCCCCGTCAGATGCAGCCTGTATGGTACACCGGTGACCCCGACACGCAGATACGGAATCTAGGTAAGGGCTTGATGGCCAGACTGAGCAGGGAAACCGGCTTCGAAAGACCCGAGATTGAAGCTTTCTGGGAACAATTCACGTACATGGCGAACACGGAATGGCGCGAGGACCCCGACGAGCTGGCGCTGGCCATGGACAAGAAGACCTTTGAGCGTTGCCTGGTTCCGTCGGGCGGCTCTAGACACGCAACACCAAATCTTATCCACGACCGCATGTTCTCCTTCTACGACACAAATAATGATGATCTCATTGGCTTCACTGAATTCCTCCACGGACTTGCGTATCGCAAACGCAAGGACAAGCTGCGCAAGATCTTCGAAGGCTATGACATTGACGGAGACGGTTTTGTCAACCGCCGCGACTTCCTGCGTATGTTCCGCGCATACTACGTTCTCTACAAGCAGATGCACCGCGATATTCTCGACGGGCTTGACGATCAGCTTATGGGTAGCACCGAGGCACAGCAACTTGTCACCGGTCGACAGCCCCTCAGTAGCCTGTTCGGCCGAGAGGGTAGAGTGCCTCGCGCTGATGGCAACAATCGCAGCGAGGGCAAGATCTTCCACCCTAATGGAGATGTAGAACTGGAACCTGGTCGACGCGGCGTCGTGAGCGACAATCGGGTCGATACCTCGGGACGAGAGGATGTGCTTACTCGGCTCTTCGCTCCTTACATCGGAAGCCCCTGGTCTCTCCAAATGCGATCTCCTGACAGCGAGCCCGATACACCGTACTGGGATGCTCTGTTAAACCCGCCTACCACTATAGACGATCTGCCTGCCTTGCTTACTGGGCAACGTCGGGAACGTAATGGCATCGATTTTGACTTTGAACTTGAGCTCGGCAGCTCGGATGGCGAGGAAGGAGGTAACAATAACTCGGATGCGGAGAATAGGAGTCAACCAGGCGACGAGCCGGCACAAGTCAACGGTACCACAAACCACAGCCAGAGAGTCGATCCCGACCAGTTCACCAACGCAATGCCTACCGAGAGTCAGCTCAGAGCCCAGGTCATCAACCATAAGAGGCAGATGGCCCCTGATGTCGAGCGCAAAAGACGGCAAGCTGCTAGAAAACAGCTGCACGACAGATGGAAGAGGAGACAATTCTATCTCGATGAGGAAGAGGGCGGTCTTGCCCCCGATGGCTGGCAATCAGACGAAGATGTCTTGGTGAGCCTCAATGGTGTTGCGGAAAGCTCAAAGGCCGCACAACAGCAGACATTATCCCCTCGATCTAGATCCTCGTCAAAGGTTCGCTTCGCAGAAGACATGGATGACTACGAGATCAGATCCAATCCTTCGACATCCTCTAGAAGTGTGCCCGAGCGTTGGGGAGGCTTGGAGATTCCCGATGAGGAGCGCGACGCTGGCAGAGAGATCCTTTACCAGGTCACGCAGCAGGCGTTCAACGAGCTTCTTGACGCCATATTCAAGGACAAGGAGAACTTGGCCGTCAAGGCAGCTGCCACCAAGGCAAAACGAGATAAGAACAGGCCTCTGTTCGAGCACCTGACTGTTGCGGAGCCGAAGCGCAAGGTGGTCGAGCCGCGGCAACCAAGGAAGGCACTCGACGAGGAGAAGCCCGTCGCTGAAAGATCCCTGGAAGAACTTCTGATGACTAGTGGTTACAGAGTCGGGGAAAACGGCGAAACAGAGGATGTTCCCATCTCAGAAGAGCGGCAGAGGGTGGAAGAAGTCATTGACTCGGATGAAGATGATGAGGAGGTTAATGAGGACGAAGAAGAAGATGTCTCAACCGTGGAGGAAGTCGAATACCGGGACCCTACTATGCCCCAATTCCGTCCGAATAGTGAGACGGATGAGCCTATGTCTCCAGGCAGCACCCCGCCCACTTCAGACGACTCCTCGTTGTCGACGAAGGGAATGAAGTCGCCCGTGCAGGGAAAATCATCAAAGTCTGCAAAGGAGCCGAAAACCATCCCGCATTTCACCCTGCTGGAATGGAAGCGGCTCGACCTAGCAGAGAAGGAAGCTGCCGATCGCGGTGGCTGGGGCAAGCTCAGCTTTGATGAGTTTGAGGAAATCTACAAGAGCCAGGAGAACGCTGGCAACCGTCTGGACTATCTTGGCAGCTGGGTCGACTTTTGCATCCCCTAGCGCGAAGGAAACAACAGGAGACAGTCTGACCAACTTCGGCGCTGGCCCATCAAGTTTCTGGAAGAACACCCTGCCGAAGATTGCCCCGAAGAATATGGGGAATGCGAGGATTATGAAGAATCCTTGGGATGGGAAGACTCGTTGGGATCTTTTGATAGTGACAGCCCGTCGGACGATTTCTCTGACAGCGATGTCCCCTCGAGCATGACACAGAGTCTATCAGACTTGGTGAGACAGGCTGCAGTGGAGGCGGACGTAGATGCAAATCATCTATGGGGATGACGCCCGGATGTTTCTCACCAGTGAGGTGACTGCATACCCTACAACATGGAAGCTAAAATGGCTTGAGCGTAAATAACATCGTCTTGAGTATTGGATTAGAGCGGTTACTCCCAGCTTGGAGTTGTGAAAGGAGGGGAAAATGTACAAATTAGGCCTCTGCAGACGAGCCGCCAGCCGAAGAAAAGTTCTATCGTGTGTTCGAGACGGTTCTTGAGAAATGCGTGACGCTGATCCTGCCATTAATGAGATGGGCCGTACTAGGACCCCCTTCCACCTACGACGACAAGATTCTTCCACCTTCAGTAAAGATGGTTGCGCCAGTGATATTCCCATCCTTCATCAAATACAGATACGCCTCCGCCACGTCCTCGGGCCGTCCAAGCCTTCCCGTCAGCGTCTTACTTCGGAACCCCTCGATGGCCGCCTCAGGCAGTGTCAGGAACAGCTCCGTCGTCACAGGGCCCGAGGAGACGAGATTCACGCGTACGGGGGCGAGATTAAAAGACAAACCCCTGACGAGCCCTTCCATTGCGCCGGCGGCGCAGTCGGCGAGGGCCCAGCCTGGCATGGGTCGGTGGGAGCTGGAGCCGTTTGTGAGGGTTAGCGAAGTATCTGGTCCGTGGGTGATGTATTTCTCCGTGGAGAGGAGGCCAGCTAGGATCGTGGGTGCGTACGCTCTCATGGAGAGGGACGCGGTGATGTGGGATGGTCGCGTGTCACTCAGGGACGGGAGCGGGGATGCTGCGTCTGCGGTGTAGAGGATGTGGTTTATTTTGAGGGTACCGTTGGAAGTTGCTTCGTCGAGGAGGGTGGTTAGGTTCGTGTGCAGGTTTTCGAGGTCTGCGAGGTTGATTGTGTGGGTTTTGAGTTGGTGGCCTTGGGTGGAGGGGTAGGTTGTACGGAGGCGGGCTTCGGCGGCGGCGAGTTTGGAGGGATTGGAGGAGGCTAGGAGTACGCTGGCGGCGTATTCTAGGGATGCTCCTGCTGCTGCGTAGCCTAGACCCGAGGAGCCTTCTATGATTAGGATGCGTTTGGAGGCGAGCTTGGAGGTGTATTTGTTGGGTTGGGTGGACATTGTTGCGATGGGGCTTGGAGTGTTGGACAAAGTTGATGATCGTGGTGTTGTGATTGAGGAATGTTGGTTTGAGGCTGGAAACTGCTTTGATGTATATTGCGTAAGCTGTCTTTCACCGGTTGGGTATCTCGTATTTAAGCTTGAAGTTATTCATATGCTTCCACCGAAGCGGACGGACAAGATCGGGACTGTATCTCAAGAATATGGCATGATATTGGCATGATATTGGAATATACCCGGCATTAATCACGTCAATGGAACTCGAGCTGAACGTTGATAGCTTGTGGTGGCTTCTGGAGACCATATTTCGCCATGACTTTGTCGGCAACGGGTCCGTATTCGTAGAGATTCGGTATCGCGTTCGGACACCGAACGGACCAGCGCTCTTTCTTCGGCGCCATGGCTAGGGTCTGAAAGCTACGTGAACGGGATAAACGTGCTTGATTTGGACTACGCTCGTCCAATAGTTGCGCCGCTCGCCGACTCCAAAGCCGCGCTTTCCGCGGAGCGAGTCATCCGAAATGCCCCGCAGATCCCGATCACGGATCCGGTGCCGAAGGCCGAGTGGACCCCTCACTCGACGCATAATCTGACTGCTCCACAACGACTACAACCCCCGCCTAAGCTGATTTCGGTCGTGATGGCGGCCACTGGCCGTTTAGCATCACGGCGCTTTCGATCGCGCACACCTCCGTATGGACCACGCCGAGTCATCTACAAGCTGCGCAGAGCCGGTTTCGCTCCGCATCCCCGATGATCAGCCACAGCATGTTCGTGGCCTGCCGAAGCATTTGATCCCATTCCTGCCGTATCTCAATCGCCCAGACACATCAGACACCCTTGACGAACGTATTCCCGCGGGTAAACATGCCTTGCGCCTGTCTACCATGACCTTCTGGCTGCGCACCTGCACCAGCTCCCACGGCGACCACTGTGGCCCTCCCCCGCGGCCTGGTGCTTCGCGTCCGCTGTGATTGATTGACGTGCGCGCCTATTGCCTAGTCGCCGTGAAAGACGACGATGATGACACAACAGCCTCGGGCCTACGCTATCCCTACGTGGCGCTGAGTTATGTTTGGGGCCAAGCCTCAAGCGCAACCGCAATGCTGGCCAATATTGCTGCTCTTCAAGCCCCCGGAGCCCTGGACGGCCAAGAGATTCCAGCCACGATCCAAGAGGCCATGGATCTAACTCGGCTTCTTGGTGAGAGGTATCTCTGGGTGGATAGGCTTTATATCGTACAAGATGACGAAGATGCGAAGCATGCTCAGCTGCGGGGTATGGCGGACATTTACGCCGGTGCTCTATTGACTATCGTTGCCGCGCAGGGGCGCGGTGCAGATGAGCCTTTACACCATGGACTGGTAGATGAGACTGATGTAGAAGGGGATGAAGGTGATCAAAGCGCGCTGCCTTGCTTGAAGGAGGTCTCCCCCGAGGAGTGGGCGCAACGACTGCGTGAGTTCAGCAAGAGGACACCGCGTTCTCCCCATAGACCAACTTCTCCTGAACATGATTACTACAACTCCCCCCTATTTGCTGGATACGATGGCTCACCTCGCTACACGGGATGCGGCTCACCGTACGTTTCACCTTCCCCCATGGATATCGAGTCGCCTTATTTCCTTCCTGAGTCACCCTCATACACCGAAGTCGATTCACCTGTCGTGAACGAATGGATCTCACCTCCATCCCCTGTTAACGAGCTACCGTCTGTTCCCCATGAGCACACGAATAACCCGCAGCTCTCCCCGCCCGAGGTGCCAGACACTTTCTCTGTCGCCGGCGCACCGAACTCTCGCGGGCAAAGAGAGGCGGATGCGCATCGCACCATAATGGAGGGACATGCTCGGGACTTAGTCAATAGGGTATGGTGTCAGAGGGGTTGGACGTTCCAGGAGCTCATGTTCTCTCGACGGCAGCTTGTGTTTAATAACGATACCGTCAATTGGCAGTGTCATTGCGCGTCCTGGCATGAGAATCAGAGGTATATCACGACAGGGCCTTGTAGTAGCGTTGGGGAAGATGAAAAATACGACAACAGCAACAACAATCATAACGTCACCACCAATGACCATAGTAACGACAACAGCAACGACAACAAAGTCCCTAATCTATCATCAAGTACACATCTACTGCCTGGCGTCTCCCCATGGCCTGACTTGCACCGCTATGCTAGGCTCCTGGCGCTCTATAACAAGCAAGTCTTGACGTTCGATCACGATGTCCACGATGCCTTTGTCGGGGTCCTATCAGCATTTGGTCAATCATTCCACGGCGGCTTCATCTGCGGTCTGCCTCGCATGTTCTTCGATGCCGCACTGCTGTGGCAGCCTTACGAGCCCTTGGTCCGTCGCGCCAGCGATTTACCATCAGCCCTCCCGAGTTGGTCATGGGAGGGGTGGCAGGGAAATCTCCAATCTGAGAGCTGGCGCAGTGGCTACCGCTATCTGCGCGGTTTGGGGAGCTTTTGGCGGCCTGATTTTTGGCAGACTCGGCGGACGGTCGTGTGGTCGTACTCGTTAGCCGTGAATGGAGAACGAGTCCCGGTGGGAGACGACGCCGCTGAGTTCTCAGATGATCGAACATCAGAAGGCTGGTGCGAGAAGTTTTGCGAAAGAGCCCAGAAGCCATACTTCACCCACCCGCAGACGGCCGCAGAGGATGTGCAAATCACGCTTGGGTGATATGTGAGAACAGAGACGCATTTGGCGTAACATCATAGCCAACTGAATACGACGGAACAAGTACCCGCTGATATAGGCCTGGAAAGGTCGCGGGTTGGTGCAGAAGTGCAGATGCAGATGTAGCTGAACTTGGTTGGTTGAGGCTGGCATGGTTGGTTGGCGCAGTCCAATGACCTCCTCACACCCGGGCGCTTAACCAATTACCACGTCGTAGAGTTGTGATAACAGGACGTAGGTCGCAGGCAAGGACATGCAGCTTGAAGTGGAGCTGCCTGTCTATGATTATTGTGATTGAGATTTGGCGTACGTCCGCACGAGAAACCTACCCCGATTCATGCCCCATCTACCCTGTCAGAGCCCTCCCGGATAGGGGCTAGTTAGAGGTAGTAAGGAGTCCAAGCAACAAAGGAGCAGCTCAGATATATATACAGCGCAAGGAGTATACGTCGAGGGAGGAGCAGATTTCAGTAATTCATCATTCTACCCCTAACTATAGTTGGCCTCTGAGAGCTTCCACCCTGCGTCAACACCACAACTTGACATACCCTCCCTCACCCCTGCGTTCGGGATCTCTGAGATGTGTGCCAGTTTTCCGAACAGAACTTACCTACATCAACACCAAATACTTCACAAACAATCCAACTCATCCTACTCCTTGCGAAGCACACAATGGCAGATCCGCTGTTCATCACGACGGGTGTGCTTGGCTTTATGTCCTTCGGTATTGAAGTCGCTCAGTCGCTCTACAAGTACTACACCGCTGTCAAGTCCCAACCATCGAACATTCAGCATACATTGCTGAAGCTCCAGCAACTCGAAGCCCTCCTCGAGCAGCTGCGCTCTCACATCGAGGAACGTCAATCACGGCCTGAAGGGGTTGAGTTGGTCAAAACCATCAAGCCCTTCGTCGAAGAGTGCGAGGATTGCATTCAAGAACTTAAAGAGGAGGCGGACAAGTTTGAACAAACGAAGATCAGTGATGGGAGCATCGAACAAGCCATCAAGCGCACCGGCCGCCGCCTCGCTTATCCATTTCGGGAGAGTACGCTACACAAATTGGACGAAGACATCGACGATGTTGTCGGTCGTTTATCCCTAGCACTCTCTGTGGCACAGAAGAAGACCCTCGACAACGTTCAAGATGACGTCCAGGATATTGGCGCCGTTCTTGATGTCATAAGAGCATCTCAGGTCTCTCGCGAGATTCAGGATTGCTTGAGGGCACCAGATGCCTCCATCAACTTCAACGAGAATCAAAAGAAAAAGCACCCAGGTACTGGCCTCTGGCTGGTCAGAGGAGCCTCTTTCCTTAATTGGTTGCACCATCCCAAGTCTTTCTTATGGCTCAAAGGCTTCGCTGGGTGTGGAAAGTCTGTATTGTCCACTACTGTGATTGAGCATACCCTGCGTCGTCGAGGGTTCGACAGAAACTCCCGCGTAGGGGTATCGTTCTTCTTTCTCACCTTTAACGACGACACCAAGCAAAGCACGTCGGCCCTTTTGCGCGCTCTGATCCTTCAACTGTCAGCGCAACTTGGCAGTACTCCTACGGCACTTCAAAGACTTTTCCAGAATTACAGGTCTGGGGCACCTCCGGACCCGAGTCTAGTTGAGTGTATCCATCAGATTCTCCGAATGTTCGAAGACGTCTACATCATAATTGATGCTCTGGACGAAAGCCCTAGAGATTCTCACAGAGGGGATATGCTTGAAACACTTACCGAGATGCGAGCTTGGCTGGATTGCTCCCTACACTTACTGGTCACAAGCAGAGACGAACCCGATATCAAAGATGAGCTACAGGCCGCCTCCGAAGACATGGTCCATCTGAAAAATGATGACATAGACAAAGACATTGCCCTTTTCGTCACAGAACATCTCGAACGCAACCGTCGTCTGCGGAAGTGGATGCCTTATTTCGCTGAAATAGAAACTGTTTTAGTGCAAAAAGCCGGTGTAGTGTAAGTAATACTCTGGGTCCAGCTTAGTGCAAGGCAATTAATCTGTGGCAGATTTCGTTGGGTGGAGTGCCAATTCAAAGAGCTCATGTCCTGCCCACAAAGTAAGGCTCTGCTCGACCTGCTACTGGGATCCTTGCCTCGGACACTGGACGAGACTTATGATCGGATGATTCGGAACATACCGTCAGGATCGAGAGAGTACGCTCGTCAGATGTTGGCGATTCTTTGCTACGCAACAAGACCCTTGAGCGTAGCTGAACTCATCGATGCAATCGCTGTTGACCTACACGAAGGAGCCACACCGAGCTTCAAACTCGAACGAAGACTCTTCGATGTGACAGCCCTGCAAGAAGTCTGTCCGGGTTTTATCGAGACCGATTTCCAAGAGAAAATGAAGACCTTTACCGTGCGCCTGGCCCATTTTTCTGTACAGGAGTATCTCGAATCCGGGAGATCCAATGACATTGAGGCTACAGCATTCATCATTCGACGAGCTGATGGACAAGCTATCATGGCGTCAATATGCTTGACCTTTCTCCTTGATCCTAGGCTGTCCATGCTGGAAATTGACGGCATTCACCAAAAGTTTCCGCTTGCTGAATATGCTGCATGTCAATGGCCGAATCACTACCGGGAGAGCTCAAAAACGGCGCAAGTCAATAATCAGGTTATTCGACTGTTCATAAATGATCACAAATCCTTCCAAACCTGGACCGAGATTTGGAAGCCCGAGTACTCAGATGCCACAGAGTAGGAGGAGCAGGGGAACGTTCCTACCGCTTTGTACTGCGCGTCCTTGCTTGGGATCCAGGCCGTGTTTGAAGCTTGGTGTCAAATGGAACCCAATGATTCTACCTTAAAAGCCCTGGACGTAAGTTTCCGAGACGCCCTCAATGCTCAGTGCGGAAGGCTTCGCAGAACACCTGTACAAGCCGCGGCCGCGTGCGGTCATCTCTATGTTGTCAGAAATCTTCTCGGCAAAGGCGCAAATCCAAACGTTAAGAGCGCAAAAGGGGCAGATCAAAATATAAAGAGCGCAAAAGAATGCGAAGCAGGGAGCCCACTGATAGCCGCGGCAAAGGGCGGTTATAAGGATATTGTGGATCTGCTCCTCCAGAATGGCGCCGAAATCAATGCAACGAGCGCGGATGGAAGCAGGGGCCACGCTGTTTGCGAAGCCGCAAGACGTGGCGAGGTCGAAGTTGTGAAGTTGCTAATTAGCGCAGGTGCTCGAGATGTTGATGCCGCTCTCGGTGTCGCGGTGAAATGCAACAAGGGCGAGGTCATCGAATTGCTGCTCAAAAACAACGCTGATTTTTTCGCCTGGAGTTTGAGATATCTTGGCAAAAATACTCTACACAAATATTCTGACACACACCGCCAACGAGACGAACGAAAATTGCTTGCCAGTTACATCGTTGACTCGGACGACAATAGTCTTAAGACTCGCGGATACGATGATAAGTTTTTGGAAGCAGCAATCGGAATCAACGGGTACAGGAACTGTTTGGAGGCAGCAGTTGGAATCAACAACAAAAACTTGGTTGATCTTCTGCTGAGTAAGGAGTCGACCCTCGGTGATGGCAAGTCCCGTAAAGCTGCATGGCGAGAAGCGGCAAAAGAGGGTTATGAGAGTGTGCTGTTGTTACTTCTTGAGAAGAGTACGAACGTCAACTATCAAAAACTGGGACAAGACGACTGCAGATATGCGACGTGTGCACTGGCCTGGGCCGTAACGAGGGGCCATCAGAGGGTTGTACAGTTGCTCATCGAAAAGGGAGCAAGTGTCTATGGATGTTACGACATATGCAACGATCATAAAGCGAAAGGGAGGCAATGGCCCCTGTATGAAGCAGCATCTCTTGGCCATGTTGAGATTGTGCGATTGCTCATCGAAAATAGCGCCACGGTGGATGGCCCGAATGCCTATTACCTGCCACAGGAAATAGGTGTTGTCAGGCCCATCCCAGTACACTCGTTACAACGATTGTCACACTATGCCTATGAAACAATATGGTCTTACACAAGCATGACTAAGTTTGCCAAGGATATGCCAGTATAAAGGGTCTTCCACTCACTATATAGATAGTCGGGATATTCCCATGAGTTTTGCTATCCGGGAGGTGCTTTCTGGCTATCCGGGAGGTGGTCTACTTTTACGACCAATCAGAAGCGTCCCACGGGTTAACCTCGGCACAAGTCTACTAGCGCCCTGTGGGCCCGTCAATTGGATTCCTCCTCCACACCCCACGGTCGTCAAATTCCTTTCCAAACCACACCCACCTACCCACTCAACCCAACCCAACCCAACCACCCAGCCTACGTCGCCGCGATGGATTTGCCCACCGACGGGCCCGATTATGAGGCTATTCCCAACCCTCCAGAGGGTGGGATTGACGGAGTGCCTGCCGATTCGATTCAACAGCTACAAGACCATCTCAACGTTTTCGCACGTGCCCACGGCTTCGCGATTATCCGCAAGGGCGGCGGTACCCCTCGCAACGGCGAGAATACCTTCTACTACCTATGCTGCGACCGCGACCGAGTGCGGCAGACGGAAGGAGTGGGATTACGTCAGGCGACGACGTCGAAGACCGGTTGCCTCTAGAATGGCGTAGCCTCCGCGACGAAGAAGAAAGGTTGGAAGTGGACTTGGACACTTAAGTACGGCGAACACAACCACGGCCCGTCTCTGGCTCCTTCCGCCCACCCAACCCATCGCCGTATGACCGCCGAGCAGAGCAGCCTCGTCGCCAGTCTCTCCAAGCACAACGCAATCAACCCACGAGAAGTTGGGGCCGTCGTTCGCGATGCCCACCCTGGTGCGCTCGTCAGCCAAAAGGACATTCACAATGCCCGCCAGCGCCTCCGCCTCGATGCCCTAGGTAAATACACGTCGACACAAGCCTTCGTTCGTCAGCTCCAGCAGCGGGGCCTAAGGCATCGTGTGATGTGGTCTGAAGCCGATCCCGACGTACCCGAGGCGATCTTTTGGACCTATCCTTCCTGCGAGACGATGTGGAAGCGCTTTCCTCACGTGCTTGGATTCGACAACACTTACAAGGTCAACCGGTACAAGATGCCACTATTCCAGGTCACTGGCACCACAGACCTCGGGTCTCTGTACCAGGCAGGCTTTGGATTGTCGTCGTCTGAGCGCCGCGAAGGGTACGACTTCCTCATCCAGTCCCTCGACCAGATCCGCCGCGAGGTCGGCGCTGAGCCTCCCCGGGTTGCTATTACAGACTTCGAAGTGGCTCTGCGCTCTGCCATCATGGAGGTCTTGCCGTCGACCCAGCTACAATTGTGCATTTTCCACATCAATGCCAACGTCGACCTCAACGTCAAACGGAAGTGGGAAGGACCCGGCGCCCCTGACGATACAGAGTTCGAAGTCAACCAGGGCGGTGACGAGGCTCTGCAGCCTTCTCGACCTCCTACCCAGTCTGCGCCAGCCTCTGCCGTCCACACTGCCTCCGCCTATGCCCTCAATGAGCTAGGTCGTGCCAACAGAGTACTCACTGGTCAACAGTTGACCGAGACCGAGGTTGAGCACTCTCCTGCAGGGTTCAGTCAATTGTGGGCTTACGTGATGTATGCCGACACCGAGGAGGACTTCAATGGGGCATGGGACCGTCTACAGACCGAGTTCTCAGACCAGCAGCGTTGCCTCGACTACCTCCGCAGCACATACCTACCCTACCGCCACCAGTGGGCTCAGTGTTACATCAGCGAGTATGAGAACTTCGGTGTTCGTACCAACAGTCCCACAGAGACCGTCCACAAGGACCTGAAGTCGTACGTGGTGTCTGGCAACACAGACCTCATCAGCCTGGCTAAGGCAATCGACGAGATGCTGTCCAACAAGATGACGTACGTCAACCTCTGCGCCGCCATGGAGATGAGAAGTCGACGGGACTACCTACAGCAAGGGTGGCTCAACGTAGTGGCGAAGCAAGTGGGATACAGAGCTCTCGAGCTGCTCTCTCACCAGCACAGAATTGCCCTGACCGCAGTGCCCAAGGAAGGGGAACGAGGTCCACCCCCTGACCTCGGTGCTTGCAGTGGGCGGTTCAGTCACCAGTTCAAGTTGCCCTGCTCCCACACCCTTCTGGAGCTCATGAGGGCGAAGGAGGACTTGACGAAGTATCACATCCATCCCCGTTGGTGGCTGGTACAGCCGTTGGTACGTTCCTCATACCAAACTATTCACATCACAAACTGACGAAGTGTAGGACTTCCACGATGCCCTGCTTCGAATCAAGGACCCCCTGGTGGTCACAAGCACTCGTGGGCGACCCCGCAACTCCAAGACCACCACAGCAGCGCCGTCGAGCAGCGCACCCACGGCGGGCAGACCACCGTCGAGCAGCGCACCCATCGTGGGCAGACCACCGTCGAGCAGCGCGCCCACCGCGGGCAGACCTCCTCTGCCGTCGAGCAGTGCGCCGCGGGCACCGAGGAGGGCAAGGAACCCAGCGCCCAGGCCCGTCAGGGCCAGCATACGTCGCGACCGGTCGCAATTCGAGGAGAGGGTTCCGGTAGCTGAAGGAATCGTTCAGGGAGGCATCCAGGACTCAATCACCGTCGCAGCAGGCCCAGCGCCGAAAAGAAGATCGCAGCGGCGGAGTCGCCCTACGTCGGGCTCAGGGGCACTGCCCTCGTCTGGGCCCGACGAATTGGCGTAAGTGGGCTGGGCAGAGGTCGATTAATCGTAGAGGGTCAATTCGTCTAGATTCGTCGATTGCCGCAATAAAACCCAAAATAATTTTTAATTTCATTCATTACGTAATATGCCGTTTTTTGCATTCTCCGGTGATTACCCGAGCCGACGATTCCATTGGCCGAAAAAATCCGGGGTAGGTGCACAAGCTCTGATTGGCTGAAAAGAGTGGACCACCTCCCGGATAGCCAGAAAGCACCTCCCGGATAGCAAAACTCATTCCCATAGCCACTCGTTCTTCATACTCATCAATACATCCCATTGACCCCCTACCTGATAATCGCTGCCCAACAGCATCAATTCGAGGTCACGTCGAAATCGTCAAGTTGCTACTCGCAAGCGGGGTCGACCCGGCCATACCAAGCAGAGAAAACATCAACAGGTTCACTGCGTTGAACGCAGCATCCGCAGGAGGCCATCCCCAGATCGTACCAGCGCTTATACCCAAACAAACAAATCAAATATGAGGTTCATATTTGATTGTTTGACTCATTCTTCGCGCCATATTTGATTGTTTGACAAATATTTGATAGATTTGACTGATTTCCTAATCGGGAAATGAATGAAGCTATCGCGAAAGTCCTCATAGTACTGACTTACAGACTTTACCTCGATCAGCTCTTCTAATTAAAAAATTGACCTCCTACTTCCACAGCACCGCCGCAAAGCCAGTTCTTGAGACATTAAACCTCTTCTAGCGTAGAGGACCTCATTAATAATCGCTGTGAAGTTAAAGTTAACTTCGCGAGGCTGAATGTCCTCTCGCAGTCTATCGCCATCGCAGGGATCGCAAAGATATTAAGCGCAAGCTTACTTAACGTTAGATAGGTTAGCCGATGGTTAATCTATCATTGGATTAGGTTAAGGACCGGCTGAGGGATAATCTGTGAGTTATATTGATTAAGCTTAGGCATAAGATTGATTACTACCTCTGTCGTTCGAGATGTTAACTATTGCCGGTATTCCGAGTCTTCTGCGGCACTCTCTGGAATCGTGAGGGCAGCAAAAGTGGCTTGTGACTGTCGTGGTGAAGGAGGAGGACTTGAACGAGGAGGAGGAGGAGGACTTGCTGTCTCGTCTGCATACTATCTTTGCTAGTAATCGTAGAGCCCTTTTTCGCATCGAATAGCTAGTGTCTCTGCTCGGGCGTATCCCACCTCTTCTCTAGCTATCTTAATCCTTGCCTAGGGTGAAGAATGATTGCTGCGGCGTAAAGCGGAGAGTTGCCTAGCTTGGTATAATACTTATTGAGGACTTGCTAAGTATTGATGACTAATAGTCGGAAGTATCCTCGTGAGTCAAAATCACTGCTGAGAAGTAGCTCCGCCCGCTCCCTAGGTATGTACTTAGACTGAATAAAACGAGGGATGCTGCTTAAAGTTGGAGGTTGAGAAAGAGGTTGGGATATAAATTGACGACGAGCTGACCGCCGACGAGGTAATGTTACTTGTGTAAACTGCGATTGCGACGTTACGATCTGAGAAGCCGTGAGATCTATCTCTTCCTTAGAAGGTTCATTATATAAC